AGGACCCCCCACTCAACTCCTTCAGACTAGCCAGCAGCAATTAGGGAACAGCTGGTCTAACTGTGCATCATCTGAACTCATTATAGGAGCTGATTCTCAGTGCAACGCTGGTAAAAACATTAAAGAATTAATAAAGGAACCATGTTGTGATGACTTCCTGAAGGCAGAGTTTCAGGAAGAGCAGGAGCTTCTTAAAGAGACAAAGACCCAATTTGAAGGCATTAAATTACAAAATCAATTTTCTTTTAAGTCACATTTGATGTATATAGCATTTTTATAACAACGTATAAATGATATCACAGCAGGTAAAGTGAATTGATCTAAAGAAGAAGAAGAGTATTTTTGTAAAAAGTATTGCAACTAATGAGCTCATTTATAACAGTAACTAAGAACAAATGACAGGAAATCACTTTGGCTCTTGGTGGTTGATTAAATCGATGCTTTACATTTAACACACTGAACACACCAAATGTTCCAGAGTGCGTGTGTGTGTGTGTGTGTGTGTGTGTGTGCTGGTCTTTGTGTCAGGACAGCCAATCTCATTGAACCTAATCAGATCAGAGTGAAGCCGCAGGAAGGGGACCTTTCTGTAATTACATCACCCCAGAGGCTCTGAGGAGGCTGGATATGCACTGACCCCAGCTTCAGCGTCCTCACGCTTTATGGCTTTGCTCCGATTTACTGGACTGACTGAGTTAAGTGCTGACAGCGGCCTCCGGGGGCTCATCATTGCTTATTTGTTGCTATAGTGAAAAAGTAATTTCAATTCCTGCTTACTGAGTAGAGTTTAACACACTGCATGTGACTGAGCCCAGGAATCAGATGGATGTAAGAGTTGCTTGACATAAACAAAACAAAAATTTTATAAAATGATTTAAAATAGAGAACAAAAAGTAAAAACTGCAAAAATAATAAAAACCTCCCACCGGTTTAGAGCTGCCTTTGATTCATATTTACAGAAACATTAATCAATATGTTTGATGTATATTTGCTTGATTTTAATTGGTTACTGTGTAATGTTTTATGGTGTGAAGCACTTTGAACTGTTGTTGTTGAAATGTACTACACAGATAAACTTGACTTAAAACTGCAGAGTCATTTTTATAGATTTTTTTGACATATTTGTTAAAACTATCATATTGTGACAGTGTGTTATGAAACAGATATGTGAAATGATCAATCTCCTCCACCTCCTGCCTGAGCTGTTATTGTCTGAAGAAACTCACTGCTCCCGACCAAAATCAACCAATAAGAGCAAGGAGGAGGGGTTTAGCGCAGTAAATCAAGCTCATGTACTCGCAGAGAGACAACTCATCGTTACAGGAAAACCATTTATCTGCCGTCATCGTTGGCCAAGCTAATTGTCCTTAGCACTCACAACATGCTCTTCTAGTTGTACAATAACAAGGATGGGCAGCACCAACACGACTGTGATGGACAACACTGAGACCCTCCTCCTGAATTTGATCTCCTTTATATTTAGCACTAGGTCAAGGCAGAGCAGCAACATTTTTCCACAGATTATCTGCCTCATAAACTGTCATGGCATAGTAACAGTTTCAATAAATAAGTAAAAGTAAATGTTTATAAATGTTACATACTGCAGCTTTAAAAGTAGAGCCATAAGGAGTGAAACAAGTAGTCATATGCAGACATATGTAGAAATGTGAGATCATCGAAATAGACAAAAAAAAAAAAGAAAAAGAAAAGAAGGAAATTAATGTTGCAGTGCCTGACATCAGAGCGGTCACCTCTTGTATCGAAGCCGTTAGTCCTCATCTGGGGTTGGATTCCTTTAGACCTTTGCTCCATTTGCACCATTTTACACTGGTAAAAATGTTGTTGAAGTATTTTCCCCTTTTCTGTGTCTGATTAATGTGAGTAAAGGTCACTAGCGCCACGGAAAGTGCAACCAGGAAAACTGCGAATACCTCGACTCCAGACGTGACCCTGAATGTGGCACAATCTCACTTTATATCATCTTGTGTTGGAGTCTCAGTGACAATGTTTCCTTCCAGGTTAAACTCAAGCAGGATTTTTTTCTCTGCTGCTTCCACAGCCTGCTGTCAGAGGGAATCTGTCCAGGTTTCAGAACAGAGCATCTGCATCCTGTCAGTGCAAAGCGTTGCTCTCAGGACGGCGGTTGTCGGGCCGACCTGTTGTCACCCGAAACAGTTAGAACGACAGGTTAAAACCGGATTGGGACTGTCTAATTGTGACTTCTGAAAACACCAGAAACAACCAGACTGGCGTGTCGCAGCCTCGCCAATACCACTTCTCTCTGGTTGCTATGACAACCAGAGTGACATGCAAATTGTGGCGTTGCCATGGGAATGTGCTTTCCTGAATGGCACCGTGATATAGAGTGTTCGGATGCGAGGGTGCGTCACCTCGGACCCCCTGACGCATGAGTCAGGTCCGGCAGCCTCGGAGGGGAACCGACACTCTGAGAACGTCAGAGACGGGAGAGCTTTGGATTCCTTCCTTCCCCACTGTTTTTTTTCTTTTCTTTTTTTTATCCTTGTTTGGCCTCTTTCACAGATAATCTGGAATCTGAGGAATTTAACCACAGATTTGGCGACTGTACGCGCTTGAGTCCGAGGTCAACCTCGTAGTTTTCCAGTGTGATCTTTAAATCGGTCTGTTTACTGGGCCAGTGGGTCAGATGCCACGTTACCACGGTGACCTGATCGTTCGCTGCGACTGGGCCCTGCCAGCTGCACGGCATGGTTTAAAGTGCACATCTGTCCCTCTGAAGGCAGAGTGGATTAAAGGCGTGAGCTCATGATAGTGATTTAGACACAGATTGTAACTCTGTGTCCAGTCTCTAACTGGGTTCTCACATCTGGATCTCAGTCTGACCTGGGAAAAATGTGGCTTTGCACTGAAATTTTACAGGCTTGTGACAGAAGTTGATGTAGTCTGGAACCAAACTTTTTTCTTTTTACGTAAAATTGACTTTACTTTTGCTTTACATCATGTTATAAGTTAATCCCTCATCAGAAACATACCTGGAGTGTTGACTTGATTCTTTCATACATGTCTGAGAAATCCTTTAATCTCCATGGCAACCATTCAGCTGGTTGGACTTAGCCCCGCCTTCAATGATGAAGCTCCTGCAGTTTCCAAGCTTTCCGACTTTCCACCTCACAGAGCACCTTTGCCCCCCTCAGCTCCTTCAGACTCGCCGGAGCAATTAGCAATCTGCTGAACTGCTGAGCTCATTATAGGAGCTATTTCTTAGTGCAACACTGGTAAAAATGTTGTTGAAGTATTAACAGAGGAGCCATGTTGTGATGATGTCCTCAAGGTGAAATTTCTGAAAGAGTAGGAGTTTGGCCCAAATTCAAGGCGTTAAATTATGAAGTCAAATTTCTTTTCAGTCATATTTGATATTTGATGGATTATTTTTATAACAACTGAAAGTAACAGTTACTTGATTGTGCTATAAAATGGCACACTGGGCTCTTCTGCCAGAGAGAGTCAGCTTAAGCAGAGCCTGTCATGTGAAACACTCACACGCAATATTTATTAAGACAAACAGGCAAAAATTAGAGAAAGTAATGAGCCAAAGTATTTGATTGGTGCAATTAGTTACTGAACCACGCATCCAGTGAATTGACTGACGCTGTGGTAAACATGAGGGAAAGATATCGGGAATGAAACTCATCAAAACACAGAGCAATGAAATACAAAATCAGGCTGGAAAATAGAATCATAACTCAAAAAACAAAAACTATAGACCATTAATCAAAAATAAATTTACTAATCATGTAAGTCAAGGAAAAAGCTGGCATGGAAATGTTTTCCTTTCTTCCATCTTTTCTGGTTTATTTGCGTCCGTGTGGTGACAGCAGACTGACCGTTCTTTCTGCAGTGACTTCTAAGGGACCAAAGATCACAGCTTGAACTTTTGCACCAGCCCTTTACACTCTAAACCTATTCCAGATGTCTTGAATAATTTAGGATTTATTTACACAACAGAGTGAACTACCCCTTTTTAATTTAAAGATGCTAGTATTCATCATTGCATTTCTTCCTGCTAACAATGTACATGAACAATAAAAACAAAGCAGGTGGTGAAGTATGGATTTTTGCTGCAGGATTTTACAAAATGGAAACCTTTAAAAAGCACACAATAAAAAAAGGCTAATTCTGCTTTGTGTGTTTATGCATCGATGACATCACAAAAGGGAGAAGAATTTAGCTGACATTGGTAAACAATGACCCAGACATATTCAGCACAGTCAGAAATCTAACTGGCTTGAATAGGTTTCTATTGTGATTGAAATGTTCCACTTGATTTGTTTTAGTTCACATTCTCTTCCTGTACAAATTCATAAATGTAAGTTTCCTAAATACTTTTTTCAGTGCAACGTGTATAAAGTCTGAACTCCAAAGGGAAGCTCCTGTAGTTTCCAAGCTTTCTGACCTTCAAAGCATAACTTACCCACTCAGCTCCTTCAGACTAGCCAGCAGCAATTAGCAATCCACCACTTAGCATTGGCTGTGCTCATTATAGGAGCTACTTCTCAGTGAAAAGCCGGTAAAAACATTCTTAAGGGTTAATAGAGGAGCCATGTTGTGATGACTTCTTGAAGGTGGACTGTCAGAAAGAATAAGAGTTTTTTAAAGAGACAGAGGCCCAATTTCAAGGTGTTAAATTACAAAGTAAAATTTCCTTTAAGTTATATTTGATATACAAAGGCATTTTCATAACAACTGAAGGTATCATGGTTACTAGATTGTGCTATAAAATGCAACTATGTTCCTGGAAAATACATAATGCTTCCCTTTTAAATTGGCCTCTATTTAGGAAAATACAGTTCCCATGGCAGTTATGACAACACCAGCAGTCACTTCCTCCATGCCTATGTGGCCCCGATCCCACCTGGTCAATAAGCTGTGATGACACAGGGATTTAGCAGTGATTGCTTTTCTGTTAGATGCTTTAATAAAGACCATGACACACGATGCTGTTCGGGGGTCCAGCTATCAAATGCACCACTTTCTGGAACAAACTGTGACGATCACCGCAACAAATCTACATAAATGTGTTATTTAGCAGTGAACTGAGTATCTGCCATGTCTCATCTTTCTGTCCTCATGCAGGCTGCAGACGTGGAGAGGCAGCTGTCCACTCAGGTCCATTCATTACGGGACGACTTCAGGGAGAAGAGTCTGTCTACAAGGCAGCACATGACACGCCTGGAGACGCTGCAGGCAGAGGTCAGCTGCGCTCTGCAGCTTTTACTCACACATTTCACTCAAATGTTATGATCTGAAACTTGGAGCATGTGATGCTGGAAGAAGTTCTTGTGCATAAATGCAGAGATCATAGAGATTTTCTGGGTGATTTCTGATCACAGATTTTTAGCTGATACTGATTTCTCTTCAAAAAAAAATGAGCACAATATGTTTTGTACTTTCTGCATTAAATTTGTAACTACCTTATTTGTGGTGAAATAAAACAATGATTCCTCTAAAAGAGACGAATCTGACAACTGTCCAAAATCCTGCAATTTATGACATGCTGGTATTTATTTGGTTACGTTCACATTTCTATTTCTAATAACTGCAGTGTCTAACTTAATATTGGAATGAAGCCGACCCCAGGAGAGGCAGAGGGTGGATAGATTGATGGATAAACAGATGAAAAAAGTTTTTTATATATATATTTGTTAGTACTGTCACTACGTCCTGACAGTATGAGACATAATCTGTGAACAAATTGAGCTCCTCTGCCTCCTTCCTGTGGCTCTACCGCCATCTGCAGAAACACATCACTCCTGATCAGAAACAGCCAATCAGAGTCAGGGATTTTAAAAAAACTGCCAATGTTTCCTAATCCAGCATTTCCACAACAGACAGAACAAAACGAAGATAAAACGGAGCAGCTTTATTCTAATACGTTCAACTTCCTGCGACCTGCTAGTGTCTGACTCTGAGTCGTGACAGCCTGACTCAAAAGCAGACATGATTCTGTTGGATACGTCATCTTGGCTGACTTCATTTTTAAACACCTCAGTGATACAGCTAACAGTGTTCTTCACTCAGTACCAGCTTCCACATAAAGAGTGTTGTTTTACCAGTGGCTGGTTAGCGATTAAGTTTCCTCCTGTTACTGATTGGAAAACTCAGAGTTTATGCTGCAAAACCTTGAGATTCTGCATTTCTAATGAGAGGTGCAGATTAAAACTCCTTGTAAAACATGCTTCAAATAAGTCACTGTTTCTAGCATACTGTTTGCTAAAGAAAAAAAAGAGCAGAAAAAAAGTTTAGCCTGTAGCTGATGTTTGCTTTAAAGTTTCCAGTCATAGTTTAATTCTCAGAGAACAGATGACAAGGATGGGATTATTACTGAAGTGTCATCTCGTCTTCTTTTATCTTAACATTTCTGTCTCTCTGTTGCTGCTTCCCTCTCCTTTTGTCTCGGCTGGAGCAGCAAGGGCTCGAAGTGAGTGGTTCCGTCAGACTGCATGCTGCATGTGACGTCTGTGTCCCTCTTTACAGTGTTGCCTCTAACAAGTACCCTGTTTTCAGGGAACATCCTTCATGTTTTTGTCCGGTAGATGTCATGATAACATACGCAATTCTATTTGCTGGTGTCTTTCTTTTTGGCATCAATCATGGCAAATGTGTCAACAGGAGCAGGAGGTGTGGTCATGATATGTGTTGATGAGGAGCTCTGCGAGTTCAGCTATTCTGTTGCAGTGAGAAAACACCCAGACTGCAGAGCCTGCGCTATAATTGGGCGAAGAGGCTACTGCTCTATATTTAGCCGAGATGCTGCAATGTCTGGATGCTCCCACTTTCCCTGCGAGTTGCCTTCGTATGACATGTGCTGATGACTAACGACTTTCCAGTCTGTTTTGCATGAAAACACATATTTTAAAAAAGGTAAAAACCCAGGATGTCACAGCGTAGAACTTTGAACGACAGAGAAGCACAACAGATCCACCTTCGAGCGGCCGCGTTGTGAAGTAGGTTACCAGATGTAGGTCAGGGGATAAAAAGGAACAAGATGTGATTTTTGTTTAATGGGGGGAGCTGCTCAGGCAGATTCAGGGGGGAAAACGGTTGTTATTCTGAAAGGCTTCGGTTGAAGGCCGTTGAAGTGGCAGGGTAATGAACAGGCTCAAACCAAGCTTTGCGTAGATGCTTAAGGATACCAGAGCATTCCTGAGGACGAGGGTGGCAACCGACACCCACACTCGTGCTAGGCAACACACATTCTTCAGACCAGTGGGAGTACTTTTTAATCTTGTGCAAGAGCCCAGCTTGCTCCAGAGGTAAAAAAAAAAAAAAAAAAAAACCCAGAAAAAACAAACGTAACCTTTAATCAGTTCCATGACTTGATTTTCTGCGAGCAACCAAGTTTCTCCACTCAGCTCTCAGTATTCCGCTGCATAGCGTCTAACCACCTCCGTGTGACATGTTAGATTAAGATGCTGTCGGAGAGGAAGATGGAGCTGGAGCGCCGGGTGACCGCCATGATCGAGGAGAACGAGCTGCTGCAGAACACCGTGGACGACCTGCGGGAGCGGACGCTGGTGCTTGAGAAGCAGTGCCACGAGAAGGACCTTCAGGTGAATCCAGGCCAAAGGGGTCTTAATAGCTATTTAATCTAATTCAATACTTAGGACCAAACATTTTGAATTTCACAAGATTTTGTTTGCTTTTCCACAAACTTTTCTGCTCCTGTCTTGTTGGATGTTTTTTGTCAGCTGTGTTTCTGGTGTAGTCAAGTTCAATAGTAACCGTTTCAGGACTTTTTACTGGGAAATAAATCAAGTGCTTGCAAAGAGGCAGTCAGTTTTCAGTGTGACTGAGTTTTTTTGAATCCACAATTTCAACATTTTTGTCTTGTTGATCTCATTCGTTATTGATTTCATCACCGAGCCCTTTCCATCTTAAGGCATTGCCACACAGCAAAGGTCTCAGGGGGCCACGCTACTGATGTGACACAGACCAGTGGAAACGCTCACTGTTATCTGGAAAGTTCCTTTTCCAGATGTTAAAACAAGCTGTGCAAAATAAGAAAACAACTTTAGTTATAGTTTTCTTGGAGGGAAGGGACCTCTGTGCTGCCTGTTTTAACACAAGGCATGGAGTAAAGTAAGAGAGGAAATTGTGGATAAAACAGGGAAGGTTACATCACCACAAAACAAAAACAAAAATCAATAATTATCAATTGACTGAAAAGCTTGTCTTGTGATATGTTTTTCAGCCATATACCTATGTTGGTGGTAACCATGGTGATGTCAATAGCACCTTTCTGCTCTCCTAATTCACATAAAATTACTATCCTCAAGCTAACAACAAGCTAACTGAAATGAAGCTGCCAGACTATTTTGCGGCAGAACAGATCAGAGTTTTAGTCATTATTTTTTATCAACTGTTATTTTCTTTACATTTCACTTCACCTGATCTCTAGTCACAGTAATATAGACTCAGGCTGAAGGACACCACTAAGACATGTAAAGTTTGGGAAACGTCTCCATCATAGACATGGTTGTATAAATCAACTTTTTTTGCATGTCACTGAGAGGTTTTTTTTTTTTTTTCAGATAGATGATAGCAACAAATTAAAAGATTTAACTGCTCTGTTATGTCTAGTTGCGACAAAGCCAGCTGGAGCTTCAGGAGGTCCAGGTGTCCCACAGACAACTGACGGCTAAGTTGGCCGAGCTAACTGAGGAGCACAGTCTTCAAACTCTCAGCCCCCACCCGTCCAACCTGCTGTGTGAGATAGAGCAGAGCATGGAGCAGGAGGAGCAGGAGCAGGAGAGGGAACAGGTAGCCCTGACTCGTCCGCTCTCCGTGTAGCATTGCTAGCTGAAAGCATGGACCGCTAACATCTAAACGCTTCCCGTTATAGCTGCGTCTACAACTCTGGGAGGCCTATTGCGAAGTCCGCTCACTCTGTTCCCATCTCCGGGGAAACGATGTCACAGACTCGGCACTCTCCACCGACTCCTCCATGGATGAGTCCTCGGAGACGTCCTCGGTCAAGGATGTGCCTACAGGGAGCCTTCACACCAGCCTATTAGAGCTACGGAGGTTAACACAGAATCTGCTGGATGGGAATGAGTCTACGGTAAAGGATCAGAGCTGGCTTTCTGGCTCAAATTCTAAATTCATTTATTTATTTTTTTTAAATTACATTTTGAGTTGAGTGAGGTTCTTTTAAGAGGCACCAAGTAGTAAATATTTTTTCCGCAGTACATAACTCTTTGCCATTCAGGCTAAACCTAACTGCTAGGATATCTGGGAAAACAAATGCATTTTTATGCATTTACTTATTACTAAAGACTCCAACCAAAGTGGATATTTGAGAAAACTGCATTGGTGGGAAAACGAAGATTAAAGGTCCAGCGCATTAGCCTGCAACAAATACTTGCTGTGACATGATTCCTAATCAACGCTGTCTTGTGTTTTATTAACTCTATATTCTCATATGCTAGTTAAAAGTAATTCAATCTACATGTTTCCACACAAATTAACCTCCTGGCGCCATGTTTAATTCCTTACACGAATCATGGTTGTTTTGAAGCAATTTTATTGCAGCAGGATACGTTTTAACTTTGCACTACACTGCCCCCTGTGGGTTTGGCATGTTTAAAACAATGTCAGGGGCGGATTTGTATGGATCCATGTGCAGAAACTTTTCTGAAACTGACCCTGTGCAATATTTTTCTTGAAAAAAGAAGCACTATTGACATCTGAGCGGTGACTGTACACCTCCCCGGGCTGTGACTTGTGAAGTGGTTTTTTGTTTCCTTCTGGAAGGGTTCACGGCGCAGTGATGAGGAGGCACTAGAGGAGCAGGTGAGGAAGATGGGAGAAGAACTGCAGGAGGTCAGAGAGCTTTATGAATCGGAGCAGCACAAAACACGCGGCAATGAAGAGGAGCTGCTACAGATGCACAATCAGGTATTCTGATGCTCAGCTTAAAGGAGCAGTGTCAAAAACATTGTTGCATTACTCCCTTATCTAAAACATTCCAGTAGTGTTGCATCGATTCTTTGAGAAATCCTTTGATCTCCATAGCAACCATTCAGCTGTACAAAACTCTTGGGTGGATCTAACTCCGCCTTCGAGACACAGCTCCTCCTCATAGCTGAGGTTTCCAAATTTCCTAGCTGGGTGACTCCCCCATTCAGCTCCTTTAGACTAGCCAGCAGCAATTAGTAAACACCTGGTAGAACTGTGCATGTGGCTGAGCTCATTATCAGCTACTTCTCAGTTAAACTCTGGTAAAAATGTTCTTAAAGGGTGAATAGAGGAGCCATGATGACTTCCTGAAGGTGGAGTGTCAGGAAGAGCAGGACTTTTTAAAGCGACAGAGTCCCAATTACGTTACAAAGTTTATTTTCTTTTTTCATATTTGATATATATGGCATTTTCACAACAACTGAAGTTAAGAAAGTTACTTGATTGTGCTATAAAATACCACTGGCTGGAAAATACACAATACTGCCCCTTTAACACTCTCACTCACTCTGTTGGACTTTATTCAGAGTTTTGTGAGGTAGATCGTATGCGGAAGTTTCTTCTAAAAGAATGTCTGTCTTAGGTCCAAGAATAGCAGAGTTGATGGGGAAACTCATGAAGGGTTGTTATGTAGGACATGACTCCAACCTGCCTTCACTCCACCAGGGCAACCGACTTTCTTCTCTTTGCTCGAAAACAAGTCCTGCAACCATCCGTCTGACGTCAGCTGCACTTTAACTGGGTCAAATCATTATTTCACACATGAGCAGCATTCTGACTAAACCGTGCCAGCCGAGCTGTTTGGAATGCACAAAGTGTTCATCTCTCAACTGCCCTCTGTTCCTCCTGTGCGACCTCCAGATGGCGCTGCTCTCCATTGAGATCTGCTCTCTGAGGGAAGAGAACGAGCGAATGAGGGCGATGGCGGACGTCCGAGAACCCAGTGAGCAGCTCCAGAGCGCCATAAGAGACCGAGACGACGCCATCGCCAAGTAGGGTCAAACACAGAACAGCACACTGACACAAACAATACAGATATAACTAAATGTACTGTAAGAGGTTTATGTTGACTCGTTATAAGCGGGGTGGCCATCGTAAAGTTAGGCAACAAAAAAGAAACGGCAGCAATATTTAGGTTTATTTAACCTGTCAGAGAAAGAAATGTGGATGTTTATTTTTCAAAGTCATGTTTTCACCTCGTTATTCATACATTACAATTATCAGAGTTCCAATTAAATATTTCATTCACAATGTAAATATTTAGTTCTCAATTCTATATTAAATATTTAGTTTTAATTTAGTTTTAGTTAGCTCTAAATTAACTAACATTTAGCTGCAAACTAAATATTTATATTGCTGATGCTGAGCCGGAAGGTTCTCCTGTAGCAGTCTGCATTACAGCTGCTCTGAAGAAGCCTCTGACTGAAAACCCTCTGTTTTACAACAGTGTCATGAAGACATTATTCATAATGTTCTCTGGTTAAACTGCGCACTACTTTGTGTTGGTCGATCACATGTTGTCTTGAGACTTGATGTAAAAATGGGTTTTTAATCTTCACTTTCATATTTTATCTACATGAAGTATAGTAGAGATTGGCAACAGTTTCAAACAAAGCTTATGCTTTTGTTTATGCAAATGTAAAAATACTGAAGCCTGTCTTCTTACTCAATATGTCTGTATTTGTATGTGTGTGTGTGTGTGTCTGCATTGCAGGAAGAAAGCTGTGGAAATGGAGCTGGCTAAATGTAAAATAGACATCATGTCTCTGAACAGCCAGCTTCTGGACGCCATCCAGCAGAAACTCAACCTGTCACAGCAGCTGGAGGCTTGGCAGGTGGGTCAGAGAGGACAGGAAGTAAACAAAGGAGCAGCTTTTTAAAAATGAAAAAAAAAAAAAAATTGTATGTGGAGTGCAACTCAACCTGTTCAGGCAGCTTTTTTAAGTGCATTTATTCACCATTTGAGTGAACTGAGACTAACTTTCCTCATCACGATTCCCTTCCTCTAGCTAGTCTCGTATTTGTGACTAAAAGCTGCAGTACATAACTTTTATAAAAAAGTTTTTTTTTCTTACATATTTGTTAAAATCATCATTATGTCGTGACAGTAATGTATAATAATCTGTGAAAAAGCTCCTCTACCTCCTCCCAGTGCTACCAGTGCTAACTGCATTAATACACCAGTCAGAAACAACCAACATACCCTGCTATGAATGCTAATGCTAGTTAGCATAGCAACTGATCACGGCGGATAAACAGTTTTCCTGTAACTGCAAGTTGTTTCTCCGCCGTTAGGACATTCTCAGTGCGTACACTAGAGTGATTGACAGCACTAAAACCTTCCTCCTGGCACTGATTGGTTGCTTTTTTTCCCCCAAAAAATATATTCATTAATTTTTGTTTTTAAGAACAAAACATAACACAAAACAAAAGTGCAGCAGTGCAGTCCAAAGGAGAAACCAAAGAAAGTTACATGTACGGTTACATATTTTCATCATTTTGTAGTCCAAGTCTAAGATTTAATAAAGACAAGATGGTGGACACGTGTCCTTGACCATAGTCCAAGAAGGGTTTCCGAATGCATCCAGAACCAGGAACATCAGAAAGTCCAAGTGGGATGTCTTCCAAAATAATCTTCCTGCACCCAAAAACAGTTTTGGGAATCCATTGCAGTAAAATAATTTGTTGCTTCTGACCGGGAGCGGTGCAGTTCGTCAGCAGTGGTCCTCTAAAGAGGTGGAGGAGCTTGATGTTTTGTCTCCACATTGTGGCAGTTTTAACAAATATGTGAAGAACATATCTTTGCTAAACAGTTACGTAGTGTAGCTTTAAATCCGCTAACAGAATCTTTGCCCTAATATTTACCTGCTGTGTGTGACGGCGCCCAGTAGGGGGAGATGTCACCGTCTCCCTCCCCGCCCTCTCTCCTCTGTAACCAGCTGCTCTTTCCTCTCTTCTCCTCGCCCACAGTTCGCCTCCTCAGGGCTCTTTACTGTTTGGCTCTTGTGGTTTCTGATCTAGTGGCCTTTCTCAACTTCAGTACCACCCTCTCTCCCCCCGTGGTACCTCCCCCCCTTCTGCCTTAGAGGTGAGCCCTGAGCCGCTGCCTCACCGCTCTAACCTGACCATGGCACGCCGAGTCATTTCATGCTGAAGATCTGCTCATTCAGGCTGCTAGAACCCATCCACGTCTTCATCATCCCTGCTCCACCTTCTCTCTCTCTCTCTCTCCACTGGTCACAATTTAGTGACCGATGGTTTTATATTGGTGCCGCTTCACATGCAAGCTGGCACTGAATGTGTTTCTGCTGTGGGAAAATGTGTTTTTATGTGCTGAGTGTTTCTTTTTAATGGTCTTCCAGCCTGTCAGAGCCCTCTGGTGGCTGAAAGCCAAACATAAAGAGGAGCCTGTAGTTCATAATGACTAGACTTATTTTTAAACATGTAAAACAAGAAAGCCTATAAATATAAATAGTAGTGCTGCAACTAAACATTACATTATTTATAGATTATTCTGATTAATTGGTTAAAAAATTGTCACATTGTGTTATGGTACTTTTATACAATATTACAACTACATTAAAAGATGAAAATGAACAAATAATTCAAATAGAAATGTAAACATTTCATTAATATGCAGTAACATAACATTCCTTTAGTGAACATTTGATCATTTGTAGCAAACGACGCATCTACAGGGGAAAAAAAATCCTTCCAACATCAACATGTGAAAAGCTCAAGCATTTCTGCTTGACTTATCCATACAGTATGAGGCTGATCTGTTGATTATTTTTAGATTAACTGACCAATAATTGGATAGTAAAAGATGCCGGATAGGAGATTTTTTTTCTACACAATTTGAACCAGGTGGAGCTGAAACTATAGCACTTGAGGAGTTTTGGGTACAGCGTACTTAAAGTCAAAGGGTTCTATCTTAAATGCAAAATGTTCTTATTTTTGTACAGTTTTGGATGAATTGCTCTGAATCTGTCCTTTCAGCACATCGCCTTCATTTGAGTCTGTACTCCAGCTAACAATTAGTTACTAAATTATTAGACAATTATTTGAATGATTAGTCCTAATAAATAGTTTAATTTTTAAGCACATATTGAGAGTTTGTGAAAAATATGTTTGTGCACACTCCTCAATGTGCAGCAGGTGAAAATGAACTTGTCTTCAGTCAAATGTTGAAAAGGATACGAACCGTCCATGTTAGCATGTTTCGTTACGTCCAAACAGGGATTCCTAGACGTTTCAGCTAAATTTGTGGTCCAACTGTGTTTTTCGCATCACACAAACCACAACCCAATATTGCCACTGCTGCAAACCATGAAGAAGACACCAGGAAGTGGTGGGAGGGTGACGGGTTTTTAATTGACTTAATACGTGAACACACTTAGTCATGTGAGTTTCTTATGTAATGGAAACACAGCAACTGCGACATTATGTCTTTTTGACATTAACAGAATACCAACAAAGTTTTGCGCACATTTGTAACAAAGACGCAGCTAATGGCCCCAAACTACGACAGAATAGGAGTTGCAACAATCTATCCAAACTCACCCTGGAGGAACTGCTGTGGTGGGACATCGAGACTCCGTGAACTTAACAACACAGGACACAACATTTGAGCTAAATTTCTTCCACAATGATGGAAGAAAACGGATAAATTCATTGAATAGAACTGCTTTTAGTAGTCGCTGTTAAACGGTATTAGCTTTTGCTTCAATTATACTCGTTTTTAACTTAACCTATGAGTTACATCAGACCTCAACACTGTGCATTTTGACTTGTTTCAGTACTTCTTGAATTATTACACCAGCAGTTAACTTGACAGAGTCCAGTCGTTTCACATCTCAACCCCCCCCCCACCTCACCCACAGGCTGGCGCTATCTGTGTTTATGTTTCTCTGCGGTTCCCTTCTCTCTCGTTCACTTTGCTGTCTCTGGCCGTAGGACGACATGCACAGAGTGATTGACCAGCAGCTGATGGACAAGCACCAGGACGAGTGGCGCTCGGTCCACGCCGCGCTGTCCGGATCGTCGAGGAGTCAGTCCCCGAGGCGAGCTCGCCGCGTCTCTGAGCGGGACAAGAGACTTTTCTCTTTTTTCAAAAAGAACTGAGCCCTGTTGGAACTGGCCCTTAAAGCACAGCAGAGACACGCAGAGACAGACGCAGGTGAGGGAGAGTATGGGTAAACAGCTCAGCCAAAGACAGGCGGTGGTAGACAGGCGCTGATGTTGGGGGGGAGGTTCAGATCATTTTGCACTTTATCTGTCCCATTGCTCTGCTCCTTACTGAAAGGAAATGAATGAAGGTAAAAAAAAAATAAAATAAAAATCAACACTTCCCCAGAGGCTTTGGCTCAGCAATCCACCCTAAAGAGCGCTTTGCTTTCTGGTCTTACAGAACAGGACAGGGTCACAAAGTTTACCTCCACAGAGGAAGGTTTCCTTGTAGTGCCTACAAAACCCACTGCCAACTCTGTAGAGGTGGAAAACAATGTTGAAGCGTTTCAGCATGTACAGTATGCATCTCAGTTATCAGGCCGAGGAGTCTGGGGAAAGGCAGAAGTTTGAAGTATTAAGGTAGAGCTCAGAGTGTAAAGAGAAGTTCTGGCAGTGACAGAGTAAACACAACGATGGGGAGTCTCTCAGGTTTATTCATGTGTCAGGGGAAAAAAAAACGGACGTGAACGTGGCGTGTTCAACACAACTGGAAAAGGTCAATTCTCAAATGAAAGAATATAAATGGAGGGGATGACTAACGGGCACTGTGATGGACTGGTGACCACTGGAGATAGGCACCAGCACTCCTCCTGACCCCACTGGGGAC